GTGATGCATGGCACTGCAGACTCTGCAAACACTGGCCTTCAGAAAGAGGTGTGTTGGTGATGTGCACCTGTGCTAGAATCTTTGTGGACAAAAAACCACAATGGCTGGCTTGGGGGTGAAAGCCCACGAGGGAACAGAGGCCTGAAAGCAGGGAGGGCAAGGAGAGGAGGCCCTGGAGCAGAGTGTGGGAGAAACAGCGACCCCTCGAGAGGGCTGGGGGAAGCCTCATCCTGGGGGAGGGCCATGCGTCAGGGAGACACAGAAGAGGATGGCAGGGATCTGGCGGAGGGCGGTGGGGTGCAAAGGCCCTCTGGAGCTTATGGGATGGAAGTCTGGACGATGGAAGTCTGGGAGCTCCAGACTTCCTATGGGGCCTAGGACAAGACTTTTTGGAGACTCATTACCTGGAGGAGGCGGGAGCGTGAGGAGGGTCTGCCCAGCAGGACTCCCACCATGGCTCTTGGCTCACCACCAGCTCTCAGGTGCCATTGAGATTCCAGGTAGCGGAATGGGTAGGACGCATGTAAGACTTTATTTCCCAGACCGCCCCCGCAGGCCAGGGGGTCCCTGTGCTTCTGATGAGCTGGCTCTAGACGGGGGTTCCCTGGACCCCCTCCTCAGGTTCTGCTGGTTTGCTAGAGTGGACTCGGGAAAGAGAACCCAGGAAACCTGTTGACTCACTAAATCACTGGTTAATTACAAAGAATAACTCAGATGCAGAGGTCCGTGGGGCAAAGTGTGGGGGAAGGTGATGTGCTCCTGTGCCTGCGCCAGGGGTGCTGTTCTCCCCGAGTCTCCGCATGCTCACCCACCACGCAGCTCTCTGGAGCCCCTCCTTCTGGGGTACACGCAGGCTTCATGCTCAGGGGCCTTTGGACTAAACCTCCAGCCCCTCTCCCCTCCCTGGAGGTCAGGGTGGACCTGGAAGTTCCAACTAGTCGGCGCCTGGTTGGTGCTCCTGCCAACCAGCCTCAGGTGCTTCATTAAAGTCACCTCATTCATGTAACAAAGGACACCATTCTTACTCCCAATGCTTAGGAAATTTTAAGGGTTTGGGGGCCTGTGAACCAGGAACTGTGGCTGCATACCAAATAGTTATGTTTGAGAAATATATTTTGGCCATCTGAATGACCAAATAAGTATTTGCTATGAATCACACTATCACGCAAGGGGAGTGTGGACGCAGGAGCTAAGGCCTCTGCACGTGGACCCCAGGAACTCCGTGGCTGACCTGGACTATAGGGGTTTATTAGACACTTCCTTATGCAGGAGTGGCTGCCGTCTGCATTTGTGTAAGACTTTAGGGTATGAGGGGTTTTAAAAAATCTCTGCTGTTTACCTCCCAACGTGACAGCTAGTAACTCAAGTTCATGAGAGAAGAGAGTCTCCCTGGCCCACCAAGCTGACGTACCTGCATTGGGTAGTGATGTCTGGTCTTTTGGAAAGAAACAGAAGACCCATATGTTCTTATGTCCTGCCACCAGTCAAAGGCCCCAACGTGAAAGTGCTTTGTCCATCTCCCTCATTGCACTCAGGTCCTACAATAAATTACTCCTCCTGTAAAGACAGGAATGGACATGGAGCAGGTTTTCTGATCCAGCAGACTGGGTAAAGGAGGAGAGTCCTGGAGCCCCCAGTGGCTTTTGCAGGCTTTTATTAGGATTTACCAGGTACACAGCAGGCAGGGGTGCTGGGGGGCCTGCCTGCCTCCCGGCCCCCAGCAAGTCTTCACTCTGGGCTCTCAGGTGATCTCTGCTGCTCTCCTGGTTCTTCATGCTTGTATTTCTCCTTCTCTCAACTTCTGACGCCGCCCTTAAAAAAGCCCAGTCTTAGCCCAGGTGAATCTCATCTACATGTGCCCACACCCTACTCCAGGTGCCCACCCTCAGGCATGCATTCAGGACCACAGGGTTCCCTCATCTATCCTAATGGCGGGAGGGCAGAAAAGCCTGATGCACCACCACGGAGGTCCCTACTCCTCTTTAAAAACAACACAAGTATAGATTTCAGTAAAAAGTCTGCCGAGACAGCCTCAGCAGCCTGGGTGTGAGGGGTTCCTAAAGGATGGGATGGAGTCAGCGCAATTTGTGGAAAATGAGGGGGAAGGGGGAGTAAGGAGACACAGACACTTGATCAGGGTGCAGACATCATCCCGCTAAGGGTCTCAGCAGCCTTTTATTTAAACATTTCAAGCAAACCATGAGAGTGCATCAGCATATGCACTAAGGCAGGAAGATAACAATCACATCTTTCTCAAGAACAGCCAAGGGTCTATTTGCCCTCCTGCAGAGGTCGCAACATTTATTATTTTTTGATTTAAAGAAGGCACAGTTGCTAAACAAGTGTTCTTAGAATAGTCATTTACTTTGAACAACCAAACAGTCATTTTATTACTAGCAAAAACTTATGTGACTGAAACTAACATTTCTATGTTTCCCACAGAGAATGATTAACTAAGGGCTAGGGGAAACAAAGGACAGGAAGTTACCTAGGGGAAGGAAGATGCATTGACTCTTCCCTAGCCCCAAGCTCTCAATTAAGGGAGGAATTTTCCTAATCTAACAAAAGAATTTTCTACCGATTACTCCCCTAATTATCTAGTCAGCCTAGTTTCCTTATCTAACTTTAAGATCAAGGGAAAATTACTTTTTCTTTAAGATTGCTGATTGTTGTTTTAAGGAACTGTTACAGGATAGGGGGACCGGCAGCCCAGACCCCCGCACACTTGCCTGCTCTAAATGGGTTCTGCCATCCGCCGCATCAACACAAATCATATGAGACTTTAATGGGAAGGAACTTTAATACAACTAGGAAACAATACAGGGAAGGAAAAGAATCTAGTTTCTAAGTCAAGCACCCAAAGTGACCCGTCCCAACATGGGTAAAAGTCCACCCAAGCAGGATTAGCCCAGAGCAAGGCCCCAAAGCCTGCCACAAGTCCAAAGCATCTTCCAGTGGGGACCCACAGAAAAGGGTCAGAAACAACCAGACAAGCCTGGATGGAAAAGAGCAAAATCAAAATAAAAATAAAAGCTGCCATGGTCACCTCCCCATGGGTCTCACCCACATCTGTGTCACCCCGTCCACGACCAAAAGGCAAGCGCAGGTTCTTCACGGGTCTCTCGGCTCCATGCGCCTCCTCCAGGTCTCCTCCTTGCTCTCCATTCTGCTTTTTTTCTTCCTCAGTCTCCTCTGCAGCTTCTTCTCTCCCTGCTCAGCTCCACCCTGCATTTGGGTGGGGCAGGGAACCTGGAACCTCCCCCTTTCCTGGGGACCCCCCTGTTACAGAACTACAAATATTTCATCAGGGACAGAGTCGGAGATGGTTATAGCTTTTGGTTCTCAAAGTGGTTAATACGTGACATATCAGTAGTTGTAACATTGACTATTTCCAAGTGCACTATTTGTGCTGCCATGGTTATCAACTCAATCAGTCACAAAATTGTTGTTGACTTATTCTTGAATGCACACTCTAACAACTACCACACCAACTGTCACCTCCAGGGGAGTTAGCCCTAAACAAAGAGGAGGAATTTAGCAGGAGGGGACTATAGCGCCTCCTGGCTTATTAGGAATTTTCTTACACTTGGAGCATGGCTTGCATCTGGCCCCCAACTGCTCTCTTTAACTTTAAAGTAAAAGAATTTCCTTCTCCATTCAGCCCTTGCCTCAAAAGCACACATATCCATATTAAAGACTTGGCCAAGGGATGTTTACAGCCTTTTGTTCCCAGAAGTTTTTTCACTTGTTAATGTAAGGCCCAATGTTGAATTGCTGCCTTTTGGCAGAGAATTACTAATTTTATAAAAAAATGTAGTATTTGTATCACGCAGTGCCATTTGCCATCAAATTGGTTATTCAGTAATTGATCAAAAAGCATTTGCAGGGCCTCCCCGGTGGCGCAGCGGTTGAGCGCTGGGTTGCGAAGCTGCCCGCGGCCTCTGCGGCGTCGGTTCGATCCCCGGCTGCTCCCCGGCCTCCGGAGGAGGGTCCCACATGGCGCGCAGACCTCTCCTGCCGCCCGCTGCTCCCCTCAGCAGTGTACTTCAGTCCTTCTGCCTGCTCTGCTCCCCGCTCTGGCTCTGGTGAATTCTCTCACCCTCCCGCGCTTCTGACTGTACCCAGTGCATGTATAAACAAAAAACAAACAAACAAATAAATAAATAAATAAAAAACATGCCTCTATAAAAAAAAAAAAGATGTTTAAAAAAAAAAAAAAAAAAGCATTTGCAGGGCCTCCCAGGTGGCACAGCGGTTGAGCGATGGGTTGCGAGGCTGCCCGCAGCCTCTGCAGCACCGGATTGTTCCCCGGCCACCAGAGGAGGATCCCACATGGCGCACAGACCTCTCCTGCCACCCGCTGCTCCCCTCAGCAGTGTACCTCGGTCTTTCCGCTTGCTCTGCTCCCTGCTCTGGCTCTGGTGAATTCTCTCACCCTCCCGCGCTGCTGACTGTACCCAGTGCTTGTATAAATAAATAAATAAATCTTTTAAAAAAAAAAAAAAAAGCATTTGCAGCTTTACTTTTAAATGCGTATTTTGACAATGGTAGAAACTAGCCATAAACAAATGAGGAGAAACTAACAGGAGTCAGCTAAGGAGATTCCTGACTTTTCAGGAATCTGCCCCATGCCCGGACCTTTGTCAAACTGTTACAGGGCAGCCCCAATACAAAACGGGTTGCCTGGGCCTCCCCAGTGGTGCAGCGGTTGAGCCCTGGGTTGCAAAGCTGCCCACAGCCTCTGCAGCACCGGTTCGATCCCCGGCTGCTCCCCGGCCACCGGAGGAGGGTCCCACATGGCGCGTAGACCTCTCCTGCTGCCCGCTGCTCCCCTCAGCAGTGTGCTTCGGTCCTCCTGCCTGCTCTGCTCCCCACTTTGGCTCTGGTGAATTCTCTCACCCGCCCGCGCTTCTGACTGTACCCAGTACTTATATAAATAAATAAAAATAAATCTTAAAAAAAAAAAAAAAAACGGGGTGCCTGACTGTGGGTCCTCACCCGCGCGCTTAAAAGGATTTACTAATACTCCACTGCAGGCACACGCGAAAGGTTCATAAAAGGTTTATGGACAAGGGCAGGGGAAATGAGGAAATGTACAGCTCAGGGAGAAAAGTGGGAGATAAAGTCTTAAATGCGTCCTACCTGATCCGCAGACCTGGAATCCCAAATGGCGCTCTGAGAGCTGGCCGCCAGCCAGGAGCCCTGAAGCCAGGAGGCGAGCGACAGAGCGAGAGACCCCAAGGCCCACGTGTCTGGTTTTTATACCCAACCTGGCTGCTTAACCCCACTCTCAGGTGCCAGCCACCCTCCCTTTGGTGGTGACGGGATTTGTCTTTCCCAATGTCCTGATGGCTTTGGTCTGGAGTGTGGGTGGCGTCCACAAACCCTGCGTGGAATGAGCTCAGCACATCCTTTCCCCCTAACAATTCGACATGAGTAGCCTGGCTCCCAGTAAAAGTCTTCACAGTCTAAAGTCTGTGACTATTTTAGTTTTCTAATTTAACAGGAAAAAATAGCCACATACTTACATATTTACATATTATATATTTACATATTTTATTTACATGTAGTTTGTAAAGGGCAGGACAGGACACTGAGCAGGTTTTCTGATCCAGCAGACCGGGTAAAGGAGGAGTCAGTCCTCAGTGGCTTTGCAGGCTTTTATTGGGATTTACCCGGTACAGCAGCAGGCAGGGGTGCACCAAAACATATCAGCCTGCAAGGTCCTCCGCCTTCTGGAGGGATTGTCAGTCCAACTCCCTTAGTCCAAGGCCATCAGGCCCCTCCTTGCATCAGTACTGGTGAGCTCCGAATCTTGGTCCTTTCTTTCCCCGATGATTCTGCTGCCTCAGGGGTCTTTGGCTGGTCCTCTCGGGCTGTCTCCTTCATGCAAGGTCTCATCCTGTAGCTCCCAGATCTTGTCCATCTCCTGTGCTGCCATGACGCCAGCATTGTCACAGGCAAACACAGTCTGTTACTCCTTATGTTTCAGGGCAGGGAGAGGTGCATCCCAGATCCCCTAAAACCTGCCTGCTTTAAATGGGTTCTGCCATCTGCCGCATCAACACAAAACATATGAGACTTTAATGGGAAGGAACTTTAATACAACTAGGAAACAATACAGGAAAGGCAAAGAGTCTAGTTTCTAAATGAAGCACCCAAAGTGACCCGTCCCCTCGTGGGTACAAGTCTACCCAAGCAGGATTGGCCCAGAGTGGGGCCCCAAATCCCGCCACAAGTCTAAAGCATCTTCCAGTGGGGACCCACAGAAAAGGATCAGAAACCACCAGACAAGTCTGGAAGGAAAAGAGCAAAATCAAAATAGAGACAAAAACCGCCATTGTCACCTCCCCACGGGTCTCACCCATGCCTGTGTCACCCAGTCCATGACCAAAAGGCAAGCGGTTTCTTCACATGTCTCTCCACTCCATGTGCCTCTTCGAGGGCTCCTCCTGGCTCCATCCTGCTTCCTTCTTTCCTCAGTCTCCTCTGCAGCTTCTTCTCTCTGCTCAGCTCCATCCTCCTTTTGGGTGGGGCAGGAAACCTAGAACCCCCCCCTTTCCTGGGGACCACCCTGTTACACTTAGTCCCTCCAGGTCTTCAGAGGGCTCCATACCCATCTGCATGGATCATCGTGGCAACTTACGCCAACTGTAAAGTCAGGAATGGGCACAGTGCAGGTTTTCTGATCCAGCAGACGGGGTAAAGCAGGAGTCAGAGTCCTCAGTGGCTTTGCAGGCTTTTATTGGGATTTTCCAGGTACACAGCAGGCAGGGGTGCTGGGGGGCCGGGAGGCTATTGACTGCTTCCTGGCCCCCAGCAAGTCTTCGCTCTATCTGGGCTCTCCGGTGTTCGCTCTCTCGGCTTCTATTCAGCTTCTCTGCTTCTCTTCTCTTGGCTTCTGCTGGCGTCCCTGTGATGCTGCCCTTAAAAGTCCAGTCTTAGCCCAGGTGAATCCCATCTACCTATGCCCATACCCTACTCCAGGTGCCCGCCATAAGGCATGCATTCAGGACCACAGGGTTCCGTCATCTATCCTGATGGCAGGAGGGCAGAAAAGCCTGATACTTTCACCTTATCCTACAAGTCACTTTGGCTATCTTAAATGTAGTAATAGAGATGTCCATATTGTGCTGTTGACATCTCCTTTAAGGCTTCAGCTTTCTTTCAGGATGCTGTAATACTTCTATCATACACAGAATAAATTAACTTTTAGACATTTCATTTAATTCGCTGTTATCAGTGGACCTGCAAAAAATTTTTCATATTAGTAAAATGCAGTTAATCTGGATTTGCATCCCAGTCCTCTCCCTGACTAGCCATGGGAGTTCACTTCTCTGAGTCTCACATTCATTGTCTCTAAGCAAGTGGCAATGACAGGCACCCTTGAGAAGGTTCTAGATGGGAAGGGGGTCCCCACAGTACCTTAATCAGCTTAATCTAGTATATCTTGTGATTAGATATATTCTGATGCTACTATTCAAGGCAGCCAGCAAATACGTAGAATCCGATGCCCCAAGTGATGCTCACCTACATCAGCTCTGGCTCTAGGGCATGATACACAACTCACCTGCTGCTCGGGGTTCCAAGGACTGTTGTCCAAATTTTCTTTACATCTGCATAATAACCTACAAAAGAAGTCATTTTCATCTCAATTAAAGAATAGAAAAAAGAGTTAGTGACCTGAATCCTTAAAACTCTGAAACACTATCAAGCTAATATGTCCTACTCACCTAAACACAAATTTGGTCCAAAGAGTTATTTGTAAATTGGTGATATGTTAGAAAATCAAAAACTGTTGATGAGTGGTTAACCCCTGTCAGGAAGGCTAAAGATGAAGGGAAGGCTACAATGGTTTGGACCAGTGCTACCCAGTAGGGACACGAGGGGTGTCACCCAAATGATTTAAAATTTTTAGTAGCTGCATTACAAAGTAAGAAGAAATAGGTAAATTCATCTTTATATATATCACTAGCCCATTATATGAAAAATATTATTATTTGAACATGCAATCAATATGACCATTATAAGTGAGCTGTTTCACAGCCCTTCTTTTATACCCAGCCTTATGAACCCAGAGATATTTTATAATGACTGTGCATCTCAGCCTGGAGTCCCACATTTCAAGGGCTCACAGGCACATGTGGCTCATAGTCACCATTTCCCACGCCCATGTGCACCCGTCTCCTCTCCACAGAGGAAGCACAGGGTGACCCAGAAGCTGGGTCCACAGGCTTGACTGAGCTTGTCAAGGTGTCTCAGCAATAGCCAGCAGTGGCAGCCGTTGCAAACACCTCACCACAGGGAATGGCTTTCAGGTTGAGATGTGAAGTAAGGATTTTTTTTAATGTTATTTGAGGGCTTTCTTTCTTTACGGGTCATTTTTTTCCTTTTTATTTATTTATTTCCTTACATACTTTTAAAGTCATTGTTCATTTTTAAACAATGTTTGCTTCCCCTCCCCTCAGGTGGAGTCCCCATAGAGTTTTCTTCCCCAATGCACCCGTGCACCATCACCTCAGTGCCCTGTGCTCCTCCCTGCCTCCCTCTGATCCCTCTCCCTTCTCCTCCCCTGCAGGATGTCTCTGGTTTATAATTGTCTGTTTTCGCTTTGTTGTGTTTTGTACTGTTACTATTTTTTTACATTGATGTCTTATTTGGTTCCCCTATATTCCTCCTATAAGTGAAACCATCCAATTTTTTTTCCTTCTAATTTCCCTGAGCGTAATTCCTTCTAGCTCTATCCACGTTGCTATGAATGACATGAGTTTATCTTTTTTGATTGCTGAATCGTATTCCATTGTGTATATATACCACATCTTCTTGATCCAGTCATCTATTTGGGGGGTATTTGGGTTGTTTCCAGGTTTTACCTATTATAAATAGGGCTGCAATAAACATAGGGGTGCAGGTATTTTTTTGAATCGTTTTTGTGTCCTTTGGGTAGATCCCTAGGAGTGGAATTGCTGGGTCATATGGTAATTCCATTTTTTTATTAAAAAAGGGGAGAGAATAATGGACACCTACAGACACAAAGAGGCAGAAAGAGCTGGCCCCGAAAGGGATGGATTTGCCAAGAGAGGGCCTGCAGGAGGGAGGCCTTGAGGAGAGCTGTCTCCGCTGAGGGAGGTCAGTGAAGAGAAGCCCCAGCAAGGTTCAGGTAATGGCAGGCAGGAAGGCTGCTGCCCTGAAGAGGGACAGAGAGTTGGCAAAAAGAAGCACCTGCACAGGCACAGGTGGGCAGAAGGACTGTTGCCTAATGATTTTTTTAGAACAAATATTTTTCCAGGTTATATGGTGCTACCAGTCCTGTCCACTGTGGCAGCTTTCTCCCCACTGAACTTAAATCAGTCAATTTGGGGAGTTCTGTGGATACTCGGTGCCATCTTCCTCAGGTTCAAGTTTTCCACAGTAATACTGAGTAGAAATGATTTCAGTATCCGGGGACCAATCTGTTAAGGAGATGATTAACTATCATATCTCTAATTTGGGGATAAAAAATAACTTTTTAAAAAGAACATTTGAACTCTGCTAAAATTTTACTCCTTGGTTATGATGCCTCCAAACTTCTTCAGCTGATTTTTTATAACCTGTCAGAGGTACATCTATTGATTGCTCTTGAGATCTTCATGATATTTGCACCTGTCATGGAAATGGTACTCCTGGGAAATCATATTCTAGAACCAACACTTCCCCAAATAGTCCAGATCAGCAATAACTAACAGAAACTTTTGCAAAGATGGAGGAGTTCTGTATCTGGGGTGTCCAATATGGTAGCCACAAGCTCCTGAGCATTTGAAAGGTGGTTAGTGCAACTGAGGAACTCAAGTTTAACTTTTATCTCATTTTAATTCATTAAATTTTATATTTAAATCACTGCCTGTTGCTAGCACCTATTGTACTGAGCAGTGCAAGTCTAAGGAAACTGAAATCCAGTTTGCAAACCTGGTTCAAGACACAAATATGAAATGACATGCACCCGCAATGCCAACACCTTGTGGACAGCTTACCCTTTAGCCTTCCCTGTAGGAATGAGAAATTAGTCTCACAAGTTTTCTTTTGTGAAAGCTGACATGGAAGTTTTTGGGACAAGAGAAGGGTGTCCTTGTCATCGGGCTGGGAAAAGTTCATCAGTTCTCCAGGGCATAGGGATTGCTTTCCAGTTTAGCCCAAGACTTTTGTGGGACCCAGAGGTTTAGGAAGGCAACACATGTAATGCCAGAATTAACTACTGCCCACTCCAAGTCACACAACTCAACAAAAGCAGTATCCTGTCCGGGGCCTTCTCCTTGGCTATATAAGGCATGGGAATTTCTTGACAATGGGGTGAAAAGAGAAAGGGATATTTGCAAAATCTGACTTAGAGAGGAGATATTCATCTGTATGTTGGAGCAAACCATGGACAGAAGATGGCTGTGGCACATTGGCAAGCAGGTCCATTGGGCCATGGAAAGCTCTCAGTGGCTTAAGGATTCACTCTACCCTTAGTGCAGAATCTTTTCAAAGAACTGGCACACTCCAGTAAAATACAAAAGGTTTTCCTTCTTTGAAATGTGTAAAACTTCAAACTGTTTCCATTCCAACTATTTATTTACTGCCCTTTGAAAAACCAAATCAAATTTGAAAGTTTTTTCTTTTTTTAAAGAGAGTGCACGTACCTGCAAGTAGTAGCGGTACTAGCATAGATAGACCCAGAGGCCACCTGTCTCTTGAATGTGCTGGAAAAAAAAAAAGGGAAATACAATTGGTTGAACTGAACTGATCAATAATCCAGATGCAATTGATCCTCTGTATGTGTAATCTACCTGCTTGCTGAAATCTATTTATTCCCCCAAATCAACACTTTCATGCTCCTTTGCAGACATGTGCAGCAGAGAAGTGAAAAACTGAGCAACTTGAGGCCCACATCCTCAGTGGAGGTTGGGATCGCCTGCCCACCTGACTTCAGTTCTCATACTGTAACAAACATCTGACTCAGGGTTATGTTTTTCACATTTTTGTCCTTTTTGTTGGTTATTTCACTGTTGCATGGCCCCCATGCCAGTGTCCCTAGGTACAAGGGGGCGGTGACGTGCCTCTCAGAGAAAATGCTAGACAAGCTTCATTCAGGAGTAACAGTGCCCTGAGCTTGACATTCATGAATCAAAAATCAGGTGTCTCTAAACAGAAACACACGAAACAAAGTTCTACATTAACTTCTGGCCGTAAGTGTGGTGCCCAGCGGCTGGTAGACACCTGCTTCCGCGACGCAAAGGCTCCATATTGGTAATTCCATGTTCACAGTGATTGTGTAGCCCATAAGGACGGGGAATAAAGAGAATGGATGATATTTCTAAATAAACTTATCTGCTCAAGGTTACTACACATCAGGCCCAGTGTTATTTATGAACAGATGCAAATATTCCACTAGAAGTCTTATTTTTGGCCATCGTACCCTCCAGAGGAAGCAGAACCAGGCCCTGTATGTTTGGTGCGTAAATTGGCAGTAGCGCCTCAGGAGCCTCAAATGTGTCTGTCATAAAGCAGCAGACACAGTGAGAAGCCATGTCCCCACAGTCTCGCTCAGTCATGACGACAAAGTTGAGGGATAGCTTCAACCTCCACTGCCTCAGTTTCCTCCTGTGATAACTGTAAACAATACTAATGAATATACCCAGCTCATGAAGCAGCTGTCAGCCTCTGTCCAGTTAATACACTTAAGAGCACCTAACAGCTGCTCTCAATAACCTATTGAATAGATGCTATGGGTATCTCGACTAACGTTCTTTGACACCATCACTGCAGGCCAAGACACCAAGCTCTCACCCTTATACCCAGCTGAAAGAGACTGCCATGCTATTGACTGGGGGTGGGCCTCCCCGAATGTATCAAATGTATGTTTTTTTTTTAAAGATTTATTTATTTATACAAGCACTGGGGTACAGGCCAGAGGCGCGAGAGGGTGAGAAGATTCACCAGAGACAGAGTGGGGAGCAGAACAGGCAGACGTACCAGACACTGCTGAGGGGAGCAGCGGGTATGACAGGAGAGGTCTGCTGTGCCATGTGGGAATCTCCCTGGATGGCCGGGAATCGAACCTACACTGCAGAGGCTGAAGACAGCTTCACAGCACAGCACTCAACCTGAGCACCACAAGGGAGGCCCAAATGTACGCTTTTTAAGAACACAATGGGGCCCCCCTTTGGTGCAGGTGGTTGAGCGCCGCACTGTGAAACTGTCTGCAGCCTCTGCAGCACGGTTTCGATCCCTGCTGGCAAGCGAGAATCCCACATGGCACGGCAGACCTCTCCTGTCTCGCCTGTTGCTCCCCTCAGCAGTGTATTTCGTCAGTCTGCCTCTTCTGCTCCCCTCTCTGTCTCCAGTGAATCTTCTCACCCTCCCGTGCATCTGGCCTGTACCCCAGTTCTTCTATAAAAAATAAATAAATCTTGGGCCTCCCCGGTGGCGCAGCGGTTGAGCGCTGGGTTGCGAAGCTGCCCACAGCCTCTGCAGCACCGGTTCGATCCCCGGCTGCTCCCCGGCCACCGGAGGAGGGCCCCATATGGTGTGCAGACCTCTCCTGCCGCCCGCTGCTCCCCTCAGCAGTGTACTTCAGTCTGCCTGCTCTGCTCCCCGCTCTGGCTCTGGTGAATTCTCTCACCCTCCCCTGCTTCTGACTATGCCCAGTGCTTATATAAATAAATAAAAATAAAAATAAATCTTTAAAATATAAATAAAAAAATCTTAAATAAAAAAAAAAGAAAAAGAAACTGAAACTGAGTTAATAGTTACTATTTCCTTCCCTGGAAGGAAAAGAACTTAAAAAAAAAAAAAGAAAAAGAACACAATGAACAACACTGTAAAGAGCTATGAATAGTGAAAAGCAAGAATTCCAGAGCCAGATGGCATGAATTCAAAACCGAGCTCTGCTGCTTACCAGCGGCTAATCTTGGGCAAGCTAGTTACAGGCCCTGTGCTGTTTCCCATATAAAACAGGGATACTTACTAGGACCTCCCTCATATAGTTTTGTGAGGGTCCAATCAACACATGTATTTGGATGATGCTTGTCAAAGTGCTTAAAAATGGTAACTTTCTCTCTGTAACTGGGCATTTGTGAAAACTGAAACTCATTCTACATTTCCAATTTGTGAAGTGTCTACCAGCTACTCCATCTGGGTTCGAAACCCACAAATTTCCATTGGTCCATGAACCCCACCTGGATGCACTATCTCTACCATGACACATTTAGAAGTTTACCTGGTAAACAGGTTGAGGGGACAACCAGTAATGTCTCTTCAAACTTTGGATTCGTAGCGACACAGGTTATTTTCTTTGGGAGATTATTCTTCTTCAAACGTAGCATACGTGGTAGTGTACTGCTTTCGCACTGGGCTTCAGTGCACTGCCACGTGTAGTTTACCAAGCTTTCATGAGTGTAGTAAGGCTCCGTGAATTCGCACCAGATTATAATGTCTTCATCAGTCAGTGTACAATTTAGTGTCAGACGTGGAAGAGGTGCTGGAGAAACAACACGATATTTAGTACAGCAAAGAGGAATAATCAAACTCATAGCTCTACATTCACAAGGAGCTCCCAACTTCTTTATGAGCTTGGAAAGACAAGCAGACCACCTTCGAGAGCATCACAGGTAAGAATTCTGGGGCAGATCAACCTGCTCAAATTCAGAACACACACAGGCCCCCAATCCCTTATCCCCAACTCTGAAAGCCAAAAGATTTTTCACAAGATCACAGCAAAGTCATTTAGCAAGCGAATTCTGATCGGAACTGACATGCAGGGAGGGGTTGACAGTGTTCTCCTTTTTCATCTATTTCCAATATTCATGTTTAACTAAAAACATCCACATGCTTGAGTAGAGGGTGATGGCCGTCACTAAGTGGGTGGTACTTAACATACACAGAGGAAATGGTTACTTCCTTATTTGTTGATTTATATGTCTTCTCGCAGCTCTACTCTCCCCCCGTAAGTTTCAATACACATAAATATCTACTCAATAGGTAATTAAAGTAAATTAAGATTCACCAAGATGAAGGAATGCTATACTGTCATTGAAAACAATATTCCTTAAGACAAAGGAATGCTTAAGTTCTGATTAATAATCTAAGAATTAAAAATGCTCAAATCCTCTTTCTCACATCTGTTCCTTCTGCAAACTTTCTCGCTCATATAACCTGCCTGGCCAGCCTTGCTGGAGGCCCAGTCACACGTGACTTCCTTTTGTGCTTGGGGCTTCCTCCAATTTTAGGTTTCATCTGGCTCACATAACTCCTTATATGCTGCTTTAAAGTTTTCCTTCAGTTAAGAGCATTTCCGGTTCTTTCATAAGCATTGGAAACCTTTCTCCAAGTTACAACTTAAGCAGCAGACCAAAATATCAATCGAATAAGAAGTTGCTCTAATTAACTCAAAATTGGGGAGTCCCTCCCCCCTCCCTGGACTCTTCAGAGCCCTCCTCCCTCTCCCATACCCCCAGAGACCCTTCCCAGGAAACCCACATGTCTCCAGAACAGTCAAGAAAAGAATGAGCTGCTTCTGCAACTAGGGGCCGGAAACTGCTTTCTACTTTACTAGAAAGTTCCACAGAAGCATTTCTCAAATATTAATTTGCATAAGATTCACCTGAGGTGTGTGTTAAACATGCAGGTTCCTGGGCCCCAGGTGACTGACGTGGGTGCTCCACGTGTTTGGTTAGATTCTAGTTTATGGTATTGTTCAGTCAACATCTAGCCTTTCATCAAACACTCTCTAAACTAGACAGAGGTTCATCCAAATCCCCTGGACAGTGCATCTTGGGGGAAGGGTGAAGAGTAGGTATCGTTCACCTCCTAACTACAGCACCTGACATAATACAAGACCAAGAGTTGGTTCCTCAGTAAGGAAGACAGATGTAGGGATGAACAGACAAATGGGTAAATTCAAGGGGGCAGTCTTCAAATTACTCTGTGAAATATAAGTTCTTCAATCAGCTCAGCTCTAAAAAAAGGAAAAGCATGGTGGTGAAGGGTGTGGACTTGGAACCTGACTGCCTGGCTTCACTTCCCAGCTTTGCTACAAAAAGCCACTTGATCTTAGACAACTTACTTAATCACCCCGAGCCTCGGCTTCCTCTACAGTATCCACCTTATTGACTGTGAGGAGTAAATAAGTCCATACAGATAACAGACTAGCATGCAGTGCCTGGTACAGCATAAGGATTTAACAAATGCTAGCTGTACCGGAGCACGGGGTGAGCAACGCAAGGCTCCCCAGGAGAAGCTGTGATTTGATGAGAAGAATTGCTGGCAGGAATTCAGATATGTGGCCTGCTGCATGGACTTGGGCCAGGAGGTGTGGCCTGCTGCATGGACTTGGGCCACAGCCCTCTTAGGAATTGAAAGCCTTTTAAGAAATCATCCAACCAAGGGTTCCTGTTCTACAGATGGAGAAACTCATTGCTAAAGTCTCATTTCCATCTGTAAAAGGTAACGGAAAACTTTATAAGATCATTATGAAGGTCAAGTGGAATGTGAAGATAATGCAAGGGCCAACACGCGCAAGTGCTACTCTCACCATCCACGCTGTTAGAAGCCCCCTCCCTACACAGAAGCTCACCTGGCAGCCATCACCCCACCGCAGCCAGACAGCAAGACTGGTCCAGCCTATGCCAAAAAGGATGCAGACCTTCCCGCATCGCTGGTCAGAGCTTCCACACCTCAGAGCTCGCCCACCATTCTCCCCTTGCCCGTGGACTGACCAGAGCTACTTCTAACAAATATTCCTTACATCTGCATCTTAAGCAGCTTTAAACTGGTAAGAAATGTGTCCACTTTATCCTTGAGATAACTCAGTCACTTCTAATCCATGAATTCAGCTCACTACTCTAAAAGAAATGAGAATTTCTTATAGGTATCTGATGATATTTTATAGAAATATGTGCCTGTTTTATTAACTTAATAAAAAGTCATATAGCAGTTCAAACCTTTTAAGGACAGGGCAGTCCATTCCACTTATAGAACATTACCATCTTCTATAAGTGGAATGTTATAGAAGGCAGAGGATGTGAAAGAATTAATAAACATTAATGGTGGAAATTCTAAGGGGATTTTGGGGAAGGAGGAAAGCCACATGCCAGTTTAAACACAGAAGGAAGTTCGGGTGTTCTCAAAAGATGCCAGGAAATCCCCATTTAGAACATCCCTTTTGAGGCTCTGCTCTTAGATCCGGTGTCTCCGGAAGACTACCACATCACTCAGACAAGAGCTAAGATGCCCTGAAGGAAGCACACCTTCTGCTTTTCTAAACACAAAGCATAACTAACTACTTTGGTACGTAGGTGTGAAATTGTGCATCATCAGATGTTTCTCGACAACCAAAATCTCAATCTTCTTGACTGTCTTGGAAGCACCATTTGATTCTTTTTATTCCAAAAGTCTACGTCTACCGACACTTCTCTCTACCTGAAGGTCATGGTAACCTGTAACCCTAACCTGTAACCGGAAGCCCTAACACAGAAGGTTCTCAACCCCCGGGGATGAATGCAGGCAGAGGAGGCAAGAGGCCCAAGGCTTAATAAGCCTTCACATCTCTAATGTTAAGAGGTTGGGGTTGGGGCTTCCCTGGTGGCACAAGGGGTTAAGCACCGCACAATGAAGCGATCCTAAGCCTCTGCAGCAAGAGTTTGATCCCCGGCCCGCCAGGGAGAAACCCACATGGTGCAGCAGACCTCTCCTGTCTCGTCTACTGCTCCCCTCAGCAGTGTATTTCGTCAGTCTGCCTGTTCTGTTCCCCGCTCTCCCTCTGGTGAATCCTCTCACCCTCCAGCATCTATGGCCTGTGCCCCAGCTCTTGTATGCATAAGTAAATAAATCTTTAACCAAAAAAAAAAAAGAGGTTGGGGAGATGAGAGAACAGGCAAAGTAAGCTGAGGACGCTGAGAATTAAAAGGAAACCACACAGGGTGAGGTCCAAGAAGTTGAGCACAGGCCAAGGTGCAAGGGGCAGTGACCAGTGGCTGTAGCAAAAGCTGATGAGTGGTCACAGGGCACATGCATGGAGAATGGGGCACAGGACTCATGAGTGAGGGGTCGAGGGGAACTGGCACCGCAGCGGCGGTGGGGTGCCCGTGTGGAGGGGTAACAGCCCACGGGAGAGAAGCAGCTCAAGGAGCAGAGCAGACGCGCCACGAAGATGCTCTGTGCATGAAGACTGAAAGTGGGGGGTAGCTGAGGAAGGGGGGCTGTGAGAGGCCCCCAGTCCCCCCTGCTTGTATTCTGGGGGAGGAGCCCCACTCCCGGGGAATCACAAGCGGAGCTGGACAGACTGACCCGCGTCATGTCCTGGCACAGCGGAGGTGAGGACAGGGGCGGGGAGGATCGGGCCAGGGGAGGAGTGAGCTGGTCAGAATGGGGGCGCCGGAGGAGCAGGGGTGAAAACAGTCCCCCAGGCTCACCGCCCTTGGGGGAGGCGTGTGCGGGGCTGTCCTCAGGGCACGTCTTCACCATCCCACGGGCAGCAAAGCTGCAGCTGCCGAAGGAGGTGGAGACCAGGGGCTCAGGGTCTGAGGAGATAAAGACTCTGGGAGAGCGAGGACGCCAGGCCTGATTAGATTAAGTGGGTGACCTGGAAATTAAAGTGTGGGGACCCCGGGGATGACGTGCTTTGTGGCAGCCATGGGTGGTGAACACAGAACAGGGGAGCGCCGGACTCAGCCAGGTGGAGATGGAGTCAGGTGCGTCTAAGCGATGGAGAACCCGGCAGGTAAGCTGTGCCTGTGCACCAGCCTGAGCCCAGGAGGGAGCACCCCACTGGGGGGGGCACAAGGGGATGGGAGGACACCAGGGTTGGCAGGAACGTCAGAGTTGGCCCAGCAGAACAGGGGGGCGTCCCACAGAGGAGTGGGACCCCTGACCCTCAGACAATGGGGAGTCAGAATTACTGGTGAAGTTCGAGGTTCTGTCTGTGGGGAGACTCCAGGTAGATTGGGGGACAAGACCACTGCGGGATGGGGGAGCAAGGACTGAGGAACCAGGATACTAGAAAGGACTTTGGTTTCAATACTATTAATACACCAAGAACGGTGGCGTGTGACTGGCAGAAAGGGTGAAGAGGCAGCGCCAGGCGATCTAGGAGCGCTGCAGCCCGACGGCTGAATAGGAAGGACCTACGTGGGCACAGGAAGGAGGACCCCAGGCTTCAGCTGGGGGTAGGGGGAGGCTGTGTCCTGGCTCCAGGTCCAGTGCAAAGTGACCCAAGAGGACAAGAACCCACCTCGGCTGGGGCTGCCGGGGCCAGCAGGAACTCCACAGCACCTCCTGTCCAGGGAGCTCAGCTCTGAGTTCCCTGCTGCTACTCCCGCTCTTTCCAGAACATTCCGAGCAAGACAAGTGACACTGCTGCAATCGCTCTGCCCCCTGTGCAGTTCCTCCCCCCTTGGTCACTTCCTTTGCTCACCCAGAAGGTGACAAGGGACTGGAGTGGCTCCCGCAGGCCAGAAAGTGGACACATGCCTGACCCATAGGATGGCCAGTTCTCGCCTCGTGGCCATTCATTTGTAACAGTCTCTTCAAGCAGCTGGGAATTCGTCGTTTCAAGCACAACCCCATTATGCAACACTTACCAACCACTTTTAGAGTAAACTTGGTGTTGCCCTTAACACCGCCGTATTCCACTTCATACTCATCCTCGTCTGACGACGTGACATTGAAGATGGTGAGGTTCCCGGTGTGGGTGTCTAAATGAGTCCTGTTTATAAAGGGCGGGAAAGATCTGGGCTCCGGGTAAAGGTTCTCCTCCCATTCGATGACTTTATTCTTGCCTTTTTTCCACAGGATATCTTTAGAGGTCACAGGTTTTCCTGTACTGAAAGTTACATTCTGATTCATGCCTCCATATATATCCTCATTTTTGGGCTGGGCTTCACAATCAATGAGACCTAGGAGGGGAAAAAAATTGGTTAGGAAGCAACATATGATTTTAGTGAAAACCGAAAAGCATCTTCCAAGATGCTCTTTCAGGGAGAAACAAGTTAAATTACGCATCTGTTATTTGTGCTGTGCTAGAGTGATAAACAGCCGGGAGCAAGCAGGATAAACATGACCATGTAGAAGTTGACTGTTTACAAGGGAACTCGGGCCACGGAAATCCACACTGGAACGAATCCAGCTAAAGGAGCCCGGCTATGTCAGGGGCTGGGGACGACACTGGGAACGAGGCAGCAAGAAGCCAGGCACCGTCCTGAGCCCCGTGCACCCCAGGTGAGGGAGAGGACTCAGAGCAGGCGCAGGAGCCTCCAACCCAAGGGCCTTCCAGGGAAGTCAGGCTGATCCAGGACGACAAATCACTGAAGAAGGGAGTTAGCCAGCCCAGCCCTGGCAGCAGGGAGAGGAGACAGTCACACAGAGGGAAGAAGCACCTCCCAAGGCAGTCCCTGAGTAAACAGTTTGGGACTGAGGAAGCAAAAGTCTTTCCAAATGACCAGAATGGGGCCCTCCCTGCTGGCTCACGGGGTTAAGAGGCAGCACTGTGAAGCTGTCTGCAGCCACTGCAGCACGAGTTCCATCCCCCACCAGGGAGGTGACCCACATGGCGCAGCAGACCTCTCCTGTCTCCCCGCTGCTCCCCTCAGCAGTGTATTTCGGTCAGTCTTCCTGTTCTGTTCTCCACTCTGTCTCTGGTGAGTCCTCTCGAGCCCCACACCCCCGCCACACCTCTGGCCTGTACCCTGCTCTTGTATGCATAAATAAATCTTTTGAAATAATGGCCAGAATGCAGGAGCAAGGGTTGCTGGTGAGGATGACACCGACAAGGTCCAACTCGGACATCTGTGAGCTGGGGGCTGGGGAGCATCTGGTGAGATACGGATGGGGCTGGGACTTATCCTAATGGCAAAGGAAAACCATGGACGGTTTTCCACAAGACTGGCATTGTAACAGGGGAGTCCCCAGGAAAGGGGTAAGTTCCAGGTTCCCTGCCCCACCCAAATGCAGGCTGGAGCTGAGCAGGGAGAGGAGAAGCTGCTGAGACTGAGGAAGGAAGGAGCAGGATGGAGCCAGAAGGAGACCTGGAAGAGGCACACGGAGCTGAGAGACCCGTGAAGAACCTGCGCTTGCCTTTTGGTCGTGGACGGGGTGACACAGATGTGGGTGAGAGACTCGTGGGGAGGTGACAGTGGCGGTTTTTGTCTTGATGTTGATTTTGCTCTTTTCCTTCCGGGCTTGTCTGGTAGTTTATGATCCTTTTCTGTGGGTCCCCACTGGAAGGTGCTTTAGACTTGGGGCAGGCTTTGGGGCCTTGCTCTGGGCCAATCCCGCTTGGGTGGACTTTTACCCACGAGGGGATGGGTCACTTTGGGTGCTTGGTTTAGAAACTGGATTCTTTGCCTTTCCTATAATGTTTACAGTTGTATTAAAGTCTCATATGTCTTTGTATTGATGCGGCGGATGGCAGAACCTATTTAGAACAGGCAGGTTTGCGGGGTCTCGGTTGTCTCTCTCCCTGCCCTGTAACAGCATGACCTAATTTCAGTGTCTGCTGCCTGTTTGCCCAGAAGACAGTGGTTGAGACGAGCAAGTGTGGAGCCAGAGAAAGTAGAAGAGGTCAGTGCTGGGGCAGGGAGAGTGGTGGACGGGACTGCACAGGCAGGACGAGGGTGTCTGCAGGAGGGACAGACAAGCGGACAGACTCAAGAGACACCGGAGAAGAAAGCAAAGGATTCAGTGGCTGGGCTGGGGGCTGAGGGGAGGGACGAGCCAGGCTTTCTCTTGGAGGACTGAGAGCTGCCACCAGCTGAGACCAGAAACAATGACCGAAGCCAGAGGAGGACTAAGTGCTCAAGGCCCAGGGACAGCGGAGAGTTGGGCCTGGATCAGTCACCTCTCAGGGGCCCATGATAAATTTGTCCTCACCCCACTCAGCAAAGTCTTATAGCTTGAAATTTACCATGGTGGGAATATTCACAGCCACAAACGCTGACTCACACCTCAAATTAGAGCCCCCTCCCTGTCTCCACCCCATCAATTGATGGGACTGTGTTACACTTTTATTACCACCCCTACATTCCTGACACCCCAAAGTGGGTATAAGCTCCAGACCCGACTCTGTTATTGTGAGAAGATCGGTTGTTAAGGCAAAGACATTAAAGATAAATTCAAACTCATGCAAGTTTTGCCCACTGGCAACTGGGCTAATTTGAAAAGTATAGGAACATTCAAGAACATTAACTAGGCCTATTGTAGTCAATTGTGTTTAAATTGTGTTCAGCAATTTCAAATGAGAAGCAAATCTCCGCCATTTGTCTCTTTTGCAAGGATTTTAGAACCATCTGCCTTCATGAAGAGGCAGCAGCAGAAGCCCAGCACCCTCCTCTGCTGCGCAGGGGGCCTGGCCACCCTCCCCTGTACAGAACAAGGGTGTGCAGGCAGCCGAGCAGCAGCCCTGGACGAGGGGCCCAGCACAGAGTGGAGGCGCCAACTGTCTTGTGAATGAACACACGGGGCGGAGAGGCTTCTGGGCTGGCCAGCAGGGCAAGAGTGAAGGCAGAGATGGCGTTGTGGGTCGAGAGCAAAGGTGCACGGGGTGAAGCCTGTGTGTTGGGGACCTGCCAGTTCATTGAACAAAAATGAGCTCTAAGTACACTCCTTCGCGCCTTGCCTTTCTCATCGATAATTCCTCGTAAAGGCCTGGCCAAACCCGCCGGTGTTAATTCTTTTTAATGGTGACATGTTATTCCAGGGTATGAATGAACTATAACTGATGAGTGCCACCAGCGCAGCACACGGGTTCCACCGCTGGCTGCTTCGACTGCAGGAACAGCAATAACCGTCTTGTCGTGCCTATGGGGATTGATGGCTCCTTATCTAAGGAGAATAATCAAGAGTAGGGTCAGGGGTTGAATCAATGGGCAAATAAGATTTTTTTAAATTTTAACAGAAGCTGCCACCAAAGAGGATTTTGCAATCTAGAGCCCCTTGGGCTCCTGCCACACTCAGTGATTCCTCTGGGCCTGTGTAAACTACTGGGTAATAAATGACATTTCACTGCTTTTGAATGTGCACTTCCCTGACCTCTCGAAGCGTAAGCCTCTGTTGTTGCTGATTGTTGGGCTCTTTCCTGAAAACTGTCTTTTCATCTCCTTGGCCATTTTTTCTATTTTTCTTGTCTTTTTCTTATTAAGATTTGAGAGTTCCTTGCAGTTACACATTTTTTGGTGCCTGCATTCAAATGTTCCCCAAGGTGGGTGATAGTGCCATTCTCTCTGATAGGGAATTGGAGGGGGGCCAGGCGTGGGCTGAAGGGCTTTTAGTTTGGGACAGCGTAAGTGTGAACAGCCGTCAGACATACAAATGGGCTTGTAGGTGGGCTGTTGCGTGTCCCATCTGGGGCTCACGGGAGAGGACTCTGGTTTGGGAAGTGCCATATTTGTAGAAGTTACGTCTATCACTCACAGTCAAGTCTTTCCTGTTCACTTCCAAGATGAACCCTAAAGTCAGCTGCTGATTTAATTTCCAATGAAAATGAATGAATGAATGAATGAATGAACAAGCAGCAGCAAAGGAAGCAGCAGTGAAAGGAAGAAGTCAACTCAGCAGAGAGCTGCCGCTTTGCTGGAAGAGTGAGCGGTCAGTACAGGAGCCAGGGATGCTGACTTCCCACGCCAGGGGCCAGAGTGGAAAGGGTCCAGATAGGACCAGGGTGGATGTCAAGTCTCCCACACTGGCTCCCTCAGCGGTAAAGTGGAAGTCATAACGGCCGCCGAAGAAGGTCCTCCTGAGGAGTGAACAGGATTGAGAGTCTTTGCACAATGGCAGACGTGACGTCAGCTTTCAGTAGAGCTTTCCCTCTTTTTCTTTCAATGAGTTTTTACTCTTTAAAAGCAGAGATAGATAGAGGAAGAGGAAAATGGATCTGTGATTGCCTGAAGGGAGACTCCACGCTAGTCCCAACCTTTTGTAACTACTGGAGGTTTACTTTGTTTTAAAGAAGATGGAATATTTTCTTTTGAAAGCCGTGAGGGCATCTAATACCTAAAGAGCGAGCACATGTCTAAAAAGAGCTCCAATTTCAAATATCCTCTTGCAGTGTCCTTACAAAACATCATCACCCCCTATTTTGACAGTTCTTATATAGCCTGATGTGAGGAATGGAACCCAAATATTTTGATGCTATCTTCTGATTTTTGATGTATGTATGTATGTATGTATGTATGTATGTATGTATGTATTTTTAAGATTTATTTATACAAGAACCGGAGTAGAAGCCAGATGCAGGGAGGGTGAGAGGATTCACCAGAGACAGAGTGGGGAACAGAACAGGTGGATTGACTGAAATACACTGCTGAGGGGAGCAGCGGGCAAGGCCGGAGAGGTCTGCCATGCCATGTGGGACCCTCACCGGCCGGCCGGGATCGAACAGGCACTGCAGAGGCTGCAGACAGCTTCACAGCACTGTGCTCAACCACCTGCGCCACCAGGGGAGGCCCATCTTCTGATTTTTTATTTGGTAGATATGGTGACTATACCTATCAGGTTAATGAAAAGGTAACCACATTCCCAGTCACAAATTCCTCTACACAGTTTTTTTTTTTGTATCCTGGGATTTAGATTAACTGCTATTTTTAAGTATTAAGTAATAACTAAACACTGACTATCTGCTAGGTGCCATTAGAAGAAGTCTACAACATGGACTCAGTGAACACTCTTAAAAGCCATTAAGCAGTACTGATTTTTAACCCTATTTTATAAACGAGGAATTGGAGGCACACACACTAGAGTTGAGCCCAGTCTAACTCCAGAATGTTGTTACAAGGTGTAAGGATATTAAGGCAGTGCCGTGACACAGGATTTCTCAGGCTGCAATTTCTAAATGTACTAGAATTGAAGTTGGGAATGAACATGAAATGGCTCTAGTTGTGAGTCAAGCACACCCCTGAGCGTG